TGCACCCTGTAAATACAAAGGGTGAGTTTCAATATATTTTCATACTTTCACGCAACATTTGTTAACGAAAATATACATTCTACAAGTTAAATGTTTAGTTTTAGTGGTACCAGCCTTGTATGAAATAAGTGAAGATTTGATCAGTCTACAAGTTAAATGTTTAGTTCTAGTGGTACCAGCCTTGTATGAAACAAGTGAAGATTTGATCAGTCTACAAGTTAAATGTTTAGTTCTAGTGGTACCAGCCTTGTATGAAACAAGTGAAGATTTGATCAGTCTACAAGTTAAATGTTTAGTTCTAGTGGTACCAGCCTTGTATGAAACAAGTGAAGATTTGATCAGTCTACAAGTTAAATGTTTAGTTTTAGTGGTACCAGCCTTGTATGAAACAAGTGAAGATTTGATCAGTCTACAAGTTAAATGTTTAGTTTTAGTGGTACCAGCCTTGTATGAAACAAGTGAAGATTTGATCAGTCTACAAGTTAAATGTTTAGTTCTAGTGGTACCAGCCTTGTATGAAACAAGTGAAGATTTGATCAGTCTACAAGTTAAATGTTTAGTTTTAGTGGTACCAACCTTGTATGAAACAAGTGAAGATTTGATCAGTCTACAAGTTAAATGTTTAGTTCTAGTGGTACCAGCCTTGTATGAAACAAGTGAAGATTTGATCAGTCTACAAGTTAAATGTTTAGTTTTAGTGGTACCAGCCTTGTATGAAACAAGTGAAGATTTGATCAGTCTACAAGTTAAATGTTTAGTTCTAGTGGTACCAGCCTTGTATGAAACAAGTGAAGATTTGATCAGTCTACAAGTTAAATGTTTAGTTCTAGTGGTACCAGCCTTGTATGAAACAAGTGAAGATTTGATCAGTCTACAAGTTAAATGTTTAGTTCTAGTGGTACCAGCCTTGTATGAAACAAGTGAAGATTTGATCAGTCTACAAGTTAAATGTTTAGTTTTAGTGGTACCAGCCTTGTATGAAACAAGTGAAGATTTGATCAGTCTACAAGTTAAATGTTTAGTTTTAGTGGTACCAGCCTTGTATGAAACAAGTGAAGATTTGATCAGTCTACAAGTTAAATGTTTAGTTCTAGTGGTACCAGCCTTGTATGAAACAAGTGAAGATTTGATCAGTCTACAAGTTAAATGTTTAGTTTTAGTGGTACCAGCCTTGTATGAAACAAGTGAAGATTTGATCAGTCTACAAGTTAAATGTTTAGTTCTAGTGGTACCAGCCTTGTATGAAACAAGTGAAGATTTGATCAGTCTACAAGTTAAATGTTTAGTTCTAGTGGTACCAGCCTTGTATGAAACAAGTGAAGATTTGATCAGTCTACAAGTTAAATGTTTAGTTCTAGTGGTACCAGCCTTGTATGAAACAAGTGAAGATTTGATCAGTCTACAAGTTAAATGTTTAGTTTTAGTGGTACCAGCCTTGTATGAAACAAGTGAAGATTTGATCAGTCTACAAGTTAAATGTTTAGTTTTAGTGGTACCAGCCTTGTATGAAACAAGTGAAGATTTGATCAGTCTACAAGTTAAATGTTTAGTTCTAGTGGTACCAGCCTTGTATGAAACAAGTGAAGATTTGATCAGTCTACAAGTTAAATGTTTAGTTCTAGTGGTACCAGCCTTGTATGAAACAAGTGAAGATTTGATCAGTCTACAAGTTAAATGTTTAGTTCTAGTGGTACCAGCCTTGTATGAAACAAGTGAAGATTTGATCAGTCTACAAGTTAAATGTTTAGTTTTAGTGGTACCAGCCTTGTATGAAACAAGTGAAGATTTGATCAGTCTACAAGTTAAATGTTTAGTTCTAGTGGTACCAGCCTTGTATGAAACAAGTGAAGATTTGATCAGTCTACAAGTTAAATGTTTAGTTCTAGTGGTACCAGCCTTGTATGAAACAAGTGAAGATTTGATCAGTCTACAAGTTAAATGTTTAGTTCTAGTGGTACCAGCCTTGTATGAAACAAGTGAAGATTTGATCAGTCTACAAGTTAAATGTTTAGTTCTAGTGGTACCAGCCTTGTATGAAACAAGTGAAGATTTGATCAGTCTACAAGTTAAATGTTTAGTTTTAGTGGTACCAGCCTTGTATGAAACAAGTGAAGATTTGATCAGTCTACAAGTTAAATGTTTAGTTCTAGTGGTACCAGCCTTGTATGAAACAAGTGAAGATTTGATCAGTCTACAAGTTAAATGTTTAGTTTTAGTGGTACCAGCCTTGTATGAAACAAGTGAAGATTTGATCAGTCTACAAGTTAAATGTTTAGTTTTAGTGGTACCAGCCTTGTATGAAACAAGTGAAGATTTGATCAGTCTACAAGTTAAATGTTTAGTTCTAGTGGTACCAGCCTTGTATGAAACAAGTGAAGATTTGATCAGTCTACAAGTTAAATGTTTAGTTTTAGTGGTACCAGCCTTGTATGAAACAAGTGAAGATTTGATCAGTCTACAAGTTAAATGTTTAGTTCTAGTGGTACCAGCCTTGTATGAAACAAGTGAAGATTTGATCAGTCTACAAGTTAAATGTTTAGTTCTAGTGGTACCAGCCTTGTATGAAACAAGTGAAGATTTGATCAGTCTACAAGTTAAAAGTTTCATTTTAGTGGTACCAGCCTTGTATGAAACAAGTGAAGATTTGATCAGTCTACAAGTTAAAAGTTTCATTTTAGTGGTACCAGCCTTGTATGAAACAAGTGAAGATTTGATCAGTCTACAAGTTAAAAGTTTCATTTTAGTGGTACCAGCCTTGTATGAAACAAGTGAAGATTTGACCAGTTTCATTTGTTTGGCAGATAGGGGGTATGGGAAGGTTTAGGTGGGGATTACGAGGGCAGAGGGAGGTTATGTTTCACATCTGAAACTGTGATTCAAATTTTCATCCTTAATTCACAACCAGATTACACAACATTGAGCAATGAAGCATGAATTAAAACATAAAACTAAAAAAATGCAAATACCATTAAACCATGACCATTTATTATAGTGAAATGTGTGATAATTTACATTCAACGTTTTCCACCAACACGACCTGTACTTCTTCCACCTTTTTGTTTTGTTTGAGCTTTTGTCTTCACTGGTTGTTGTGCGGCCTTGAATAAATGATGAGTGTTATTGAGATATCTTAGTAAGAATGGTTTACTTCATGTAAGAAGTAAATAAAAGATGCTTACTGTTTTTTACAAGTGAATGCAAACCAAGAAGATCTTGCAAGAAATTAAGATCAGATCATTGCAAGCACAAGACCAAACATCAAGGGTTGCACATGCTTGGGAGTTCTCACAAATGTCTCTGAGGTTTGCATAAGCCAGCGCAAACATGAAAAAACATCTTTTATTTCTTTTACAAAATAACCATAATGTAAACAGACAAATTTAAACAAAAGTTTTAATTCTTCCTCTAAATGTATTCATGATTGATTTGTAAATTCTCTTTGATTGATTCATTGATTTTAATTGGTTGAGCTTTGAATGGTTTGCAAACATAGCTATAGACTAACTGCATACGTTTTACTGTTTCTATTTTATGATACACAATATAAAGTGACAACGATTCATCGAATCATTAAAAACTATGATAAATATTGAAATTCATGAAGAAATTTATCACTCACTTGTGAGGGAATTAAATTCACAATATGTGTCATAATTTTGCCCAAAGTTAGTCATGAAAAGTTTGTCATACAAATAGCCCACACACAAACAAACAGTCAAAGTTTTAATAAATATTAATTTCAATGTTTGAACAGAAAATTTTTGTTCAAAGCAGTTTATCAACAGCAAATTCCACTGAGAAAGCCAACCTAGTTTACTTTACAATAGTTGAGTAATTGGTATAACCTTTACATACCTTTGTCATCTTTTTAGCCTCCTTCTTTTGCCTGATTTTATCTTTAGCAGCTCTAAATGTTTTTAAATCATCAAAATAATCAATTTTCTCAAAATCTGATTCAGTTTAACTTTGAGGATTTTCAATTTTTCCCTCTGATTATAATTCATATTCTCACAGTTGTCACTCATACAATGTAGGAATGTAGGTAAAATGAATCTTCACTGAGAAACAAAATCAAAAATCTTCTAGTCAAGCATAAAAGATGTAATTTTTTAGATATTAAAGACACAAGACAGTTGTTTTTAATACCTTATTGCCTGCTCTCTTTGTGCTTTTCTTACTTCAGGCTTTTGATTGCGTTTGGCCAAAAAAGTTTCGAGAGTTGCACCCTGGATGGCTCTTTGGAATTTAACATTTCGTCTCGTTCTCTTTTTGGAGACCTCTTCAACTGAGCCCTTTTTGTGTTTTCTACGGTAAAGGACAGTCCATGAAATCTTTCGTGGATTTCTTCTCATCAAGAAGGATCTCTCACATTTTTTGTCTAGGAAATTGACTATTAAATTGATGTATAAAACATTTATTGGTTATGGAAAAATAATATAGATGTGATTTTACAATCTTTGTGAACAATACAATGTTTCTTTATCTTTTTTGATGGTGGTCTTTTGATTTTCTTTGATGAAGTAGTTGATGAAAGTGTTGGAAATGACCGTCGAAGAGCAGCGGGACTTGGTGGACGGAAGACTTGGTCGATTTAGGGGTAGAGAAGTTACGGACAAAGAATTTCCTTCGATATTTCCCCCATCTTCCTGAGTCAAAGTTGCCTGAGAATTTGATTCTATCAGACGACGATCAATTGTCAAAGTATTTCTATCATCGAAATTATCCAGAAGATTACGCGCCTCCTCCTGAGAAAGATTTGATAAAGCAGCCCGAAAGTTTCCAGTATTTTCAGCCATGTAGTGAGAGTTTATTTTGATTGAATTATTAAGTTTAAAGTCGAGATAGCACGATGTCGAATGCAAACATGTTGTCAAAATCAAAACAATACACTTCTCCGTTGTTTGTTACGAGAGGAAAGGAATTTCTCTGATCGATTACTGCGGGAATACTTGAATTGCCACAAACACCAAGACATTATATGAATAAGTAATTGATATGTGGGGGCGAGCATATTGCAAACTTCACCCATTTGAAAAAGTATTTCCGTTTGTAAACTCGGTCACATTCACAAAAAAGTTGCTCGTCGAATCTAAACAGTGAAAACTGTTGCAAATGTCCGAAATTTTTCTCAGCATGGAATTGAACATATCCCGGAATGCAAACAAAAAACGTCATCGCCACGGACTATTTAAGTGTTACAATGTAAGTGTGTTTATTATTGAATGCCGACTAATGCTTCGTGGTGTCTTCGTAAACTATGGAAATGATTAGTAGCACAATCTGTCAAATTCTTACCGATGATTTAACAGGTAAGGTAACGCTCACGTTTCTCAAATGTATGATACGATAACGTTACGTCAAAGATACGAAAAAAATCCAGGATAATGTTATACTTTCTAAAACCTGTGTAATATTTTTTATCGACTTTAATGTTAATTTTAGAGACTTTTCTTCTATTTAGCTTTTGTTTTGAGTTGATTTCCATGAATTCAGTTTTACCAACATCGAGAGTTAAGCATGGCTACCAACTCTGAATTCATGATAGTTTCAACATCTAAGATAATAACTTGTGTCTTAATTGGTGTAAAGTAATACAGAGAATTTTTCCGATTAATACGTGAATTGTAAAGTAGGAAAAGTTAGAAAGTTAGGCCAAATCATCTTTTTGTAAAAACGCTCTCCTTTCTCAATTGTGATTGGCAGACGTATTTATGTCTGCATTATTTGTCTGCGTTCTCGTATCATACACGTATGATACGAAAACGATACACGTATGATACGAGAACGATACACGTATGATACGAGAACGATACACGTATGATACGAGAATGATACACGTATGATACGAGAACGATACACGTATGATACGAGAACGATACACGTATGATACGAGAACGATACACGTATGATACGAGAACGATACACGTATGATACGAGAACGATACACGTATGATACGAGAACGATACACGTATGATACGAGAACGATACGCGTATGATACGAGAACGATACGCGTATGATACGAGAACGATACACGTATGATACGAGAACGAGTTGGATGAACGAGACAAGGATGAACGCTGTGATACTTGAGAAAACTTTGTTCATCGTAATGAGCAGCAATTTTGTTTTTAAATTCATGATAGTTTCAACACCAGTAACTGTTTCACCACTTGCAGTTAAGTAGGTTTGTCTCGTCCCCAAACAACCATTCGAGAATGATACGTGTATGGAAAGGGAATGATAGGCGTTTATTATATCGCGACAAAAAGTGCCTTCTATTAAAATAGTTTTCGATTCATACGAATAGAATATACGTTTATTAATAGCATGTGCATCAACCATCGAATCAAACTACGTTGTAAACTCGGTCACATTCACAACAAAGTTCCTCGTCGACTCGAGAAATACAAAATAGCCAACTGTCGCTTGATAGACTTTACACGCAAGTGACAAAAAGAAATATGTAATATATAAATCGTTTGAGAACGGTGCTCTGTAAATTTTAAAGATTAAAGCCTAGGCCACACTATCGGCTGTATTCACGAAAACGAAAACAAAACGAAAATTCGTGCACGAAGTACATGTCAGATACGACGTAAAATTGCACGCATGTTTACAAAGATCGGCTAAAACGTAAACGGTAATTATTGGATGTGTCTATGTAGTATCCTTTGCAGTGACAAAACAAGCAAAAAAGAAAAGGTGTCTTCTGGAAAAAGATACTCCTTCTGAAGTTGAAAGCAAGCATTTAGCAAGATACTAGATTCACCCAATTAATAAACGACGTGATCGACTGGGATAATTTAACAATTTGATTAAAGAGTTACGAGAACCGAACAAAGAAAACAGACTCATAAAATACTTGCGAGTGACGACAAATTGTATTTCTCACATCAGATTTATTAAAACCTCGTGCCATCCTGCCATCTTTGTGTAGTAAAGTTTTAGATTATTAGCCAATTGCATGCGTTTTCGTTAACGAAAAAGGTCAAAAATTCAACTCTTCTAATCTGCACGAAAACGAAATTTTCGTTCAAGATTTTCGTTGCGGCAGTTTTCGTTCTAATTTTCGTCGATATGGACGAGTGTGGCCTAGGCTTTAGGCCACACATAGTGGCTAGAATTCATTACCACGAATTCAGTTTTACCGATTAATACGTGAATTGTAAAGTAGGAAAAGTTAGTAAGTTAGGCCAAATCATCTTTTTCGTCCATATGGAGGATAGTGTGGCCTAGGCTTTAGATTCAGCGCACAAACGAGTAAAATACGATACACGCGTATCTGCGTATCTTACAGCAAAAAAATGCTTTGTCGAATGAAACCACTTTTTATTTAATACGGACACTATCAGAGATCGCAGACGTAGATACGCATGTGTTAAAACTATTTTCTCATGTCTGCGGGGACACGTTTATCACCTTATTCCAAAGAAAGAAAAGCTACTAATATTAAGTATGAAAGGAAAGAAATACACTGAAAATAGCCGCGAATTAGCATCGAGCAATTGTCCTGTAAGCAGACAGACTATATCAGCCGTTGTCAGAGATTCAAAAAAACGATACGCGTATAAAATAGAACGATAAACGTATGATACAAGAACCATACGCGTATGATACAAGAAAGATACGCTCATCATACGCAAAATTATGTTAACAAATACGCGAGCGGTACCGTACCCGATTGATGGAGTTTCTTGGCTAGCCGGATAACTCGACTCCATACAAGTCCTTATTCATTTAAACTTCATTTTAGGCACTTATCGACAACGCTGGCAGTTGGAAGTCGAAAGGCAGTTGAAGGATCAAAATGCTGGTATCCCAATGGATTTTGGTGTAGAGCAATGGAGCGAAGACTGGAAGAAAACAGTCGCTCTTCCAAGTTTTTACTGTCTTGAGGAGATTCATATATTTGCCTTAGCTAATATTCTTCGAAGACCAATTCTGGTAATATGTGCCAATTTTAATCGTGGTGAATATGATGAACCAATTGCTGGTGTAAACCTTGGTGGCATATACTTACCACTGTTATCTGACTCCGTGGGTTGTATCAAAACTCCTCTTTTGATTCGCTATCACCATGGACACTTTACAGAACTTGTGTTGACAGAAAATAATGAAGGAGTATCATTAATGAAATACGATGGTCAGCCTATGAAACTCCATTGTTTGTTACCAGAGGAAAGCAATTTCTCAGATCGATTACTGCGGGAATACTTGAATTGTTTTAAGTTGAATTACACCGATGAAAATGGGTGTATAACGAAAATACTTGTAGCTAAAATGTAAGCCTGTGATACATGTGGCTAAAATAGCCTTGTGGGAAGTCTTGCATGGACGCTGTTCTAACGATATAAAATATACAAGACATTCAAGAACTTTAGAAAATATGTTTAGTGAGCTTCCAAGGTGTAATATATTATTCAGTCCAGGATGACTAAAAAAGCGTTTTTACTTGAGAAATGCTCTCTTATGTACACGAGCTTCCATCTATTAACTAGTCATTATACATACCTTAATTATACTAACTATTTTTATATACCTTAATTACACAAACTATTTAAACATACGCTAATTATGCTACTATATTATACAAGGTTCTATTCTTTGCTTTCAAGGTGAATATGATGAATTGCGTAAAATCAGTCAAGACTCAGATTTTGCCTTTCTCTACTGTCTGTACGCTCTCTCTCAAGTTGTATATCCACGACGAAATTAGAATTTTACAGTCAGTTAACTTACTTCACCATACTTTACACTAGGAATGAACCCTTCAGACTATGGAGAGTTGCAAAAAATAACGTGCTCACGTTTATGATGATATTACAAATTTACCACGAACTATTGAATTACAAAGATTTTACTTTCTGGGGTGCAGAAATTTTTTAAAATTGTAGTTTTGGTCTATTTCTATGGCTCTAATTAAAACTTTATGTTGGGCATTAATTTTATTACACGAATTCGATTTCCGCTCGGCAAGTCTCTCGCTACTAAGTATTTACTGTGCTAAATTGCAGTCGTTTGCATGTTGACTAAACGGAAAAACGCGTAAAGAGATCGTATGAATTGTAACTACAGCACATTGAAAATGCCTATCATTAAATCCTTTCGTGTTATCGTTACAATTACGTTTATGTCTCATTGGAGGTTGATTACGGCTGAATCATGCATATGTTAAACGTCTGCTGATTTCAATGGGTTGCATTTTGCATGCACCCTGTAAATACAAAGGGTGAGTTTCAATATATTTTCATACTTTCACGCAACATTTGTTAACGAAAATATACATTCTACAAGTTAAATGTTTAGTTTTAGTGGTACCAGCCTTGTATGAAATAAGTGAAGATTTGATCAGTCTACAAGTTAAATGTTTAGTTTTAGTGGTACCAGCCTTGTATGAAACAAGTGAAGATTTGATCAGTCTACAAGTTAAATGTTTAGTTTTAGTGGTACCAGCCTTGTATGAAACAAGTGAAGATTTGATCAGTCTACAAGTTAAATGTTTAGTTCTAGTGGTACCAGCCTTGTATGAAACAAGTGAAGATTTGATCAGTCTACAAGTTAAATGTTTAGTTCTAGTGGTACCAGCCTTGTATGAAACAAGTGAAGATTTGATCAGTCTACAAGTTAAATGTTTAGTTTTAGTGGTACCAGCCTTGTATGAAACAAGTGAAGATTTGATCAGTCTACAAGTTAAATGTTTAGTTCTAGTGGTACCAGCCTTGTATGAAACAAGTGAAGATTTGATCAGTCTACAAGTTAAATGTTTAGTTTTAGTGGTACCAGCCTTGTATGAAACAAGTGAAGATTTGATCAGTCTACAAGTTAAATGTTTAGTTTTAGTGGTACCAGCCTTGTATGAAACAAGTGAAGATTTGATCAGTCTACAAGTTAAATGTTTAGTTTAGTGGTACCAGCCTTGTATGAAACAAGTGAAGATTTGATCAGTCTACAAGTTAAATGTTTAGTTTTAGTGGTACCAGCCTTGTATGAAACAAGTGAAGATTTGATCAGTCTACAAGTTAAATGTTTAGTTTTAGTGGTACCAGCCTTGTATGAAACAAGTGAAGATTTGATCAGTCTACAAGTTAAATGTTTAGTTTTAGTGGTACCAGCCTTGTATGAAACAAGTGAAGATTTGATCAGTCTACAAGTTAAATGTTTAGTTTTAGTGGTACCAGCCTTGTATGAAACAAGTGAAGATTTGATCAGTCTACAAGTTAAATGTTTAGTTTTAGTGGTACCAGCCTTGTATGAAACAAGTGAAGATTTGATCAGTCTACAAGTTAAATGTTTAGTTCTAGTGGTACCAGCCTTGTATGAAACAAGTGAAGATTTGATCAGTTTGATTTGTTCGGCAGATAAGGGGTAGGGGAATGTTTAGGTGGGGATTACGAGGGTAGAGGGAGGTTATGTTTCACATCTGAAATTGTGATTCAAATTTTCATCCTTAATTCACAACCAGATTACACAACATTGAACAATGAAGCAGGAATTAAAACATAAAACTAAAAAAATGCAAATACCATTAAACCATGACCATTTATTATAGTGAAATGCGTGAAAATTTACATTCAACGTTTTCCACCAACATGACCTGTACTTCTTCCACCTTTTTGTTTTGTTGGAGCTTTTGTCTTCACTGGTTGTTGCGTGGCCTTGAATAAATGATGAGTGTTATTGAGATATCTTAGTAAGAATAGTCTACTTCATGTAAGAAGTAAATAAAAGATGTTTACTGTTTTCCACAAGTGAATGCAAACCAAAGAGATCTTGCAAAAAATTAAGAGCAGATCATTGCAAGCACAAGACCAAACGTCAAGGGTAGCACATACTTGGGAGTTCTCACAAATGTCTCTGAGGTTTGCATAAGCCAGTGCAGACATGAAAAACATCTTTTATTTCTTTTATAAAATAACAATAATGAAAACAGACAAATTTAAACAAAAGTTTTAATTCTTCCTCTAAATGTATTCATGATTCATTTGCAAATTCTCTTTGATCGATTGATTGATTTCATTGGTTGAGCTCTGAATGGTTTGCAAACACAGCTATAGACTAACTGCATATGTTAAACTGTTTCTATTTTTTTTGATACACAATATAAAGTGACAATGATTCATCGAATCATTGAAAACTTATGATAAATACTGAACTTCATGAAGAAATTTATCACTCGCTTGGGTGGGAATTAAATTCACAATATGTGTCATAATTTTGCCCAAAGTTAGTCATGAAAAGTTTGTCATACAATTAGCCCACACACAAACAAGCAGTCAAAGTTTTTAATAAATATTAATTTCAATGTTTGAACATAAAATTTTTCTTCAAAGCAGTTTATCAACAGCAAATTGCACTGAGAAAGCCAACCTAGTTTACTTTATAATAGTTGAGTAATTGTTATAACCTTTACATACCTTTGTCATCTTTTTAGCCTCCTTCTTTTGCCTGATTTTATCTTTAGCAGCTCTAAATGTTTTTAAATCATCAACAAAATGATCAATTTTCTCAAAATCTGATTCAGTTTGACTTTGAAGATTTTAAATGTTCTCTATGATTATAATTCATATTCTCACAGTTGTTACTCATACAATGTAGGTAAAATAGAATCTTCACTGAGAAACAAAATCAAAAATCTTCTAGTCAAGCATAAAAGATGTAATTTTTTAGATATTAAAGACACCAGACAGTTGTGTTTAATACCTTATTGCCTGCTCTCTTTGTGCTTTTCTTACTTTAGGCTTCTGATTACGTTTGGCCAAAATAGTTTCAAGAGTTGCACCCTGGATGGCTTGTTGGAATTTGACATTTCGTCTCGTTCTCTTTTTCGAGACCTCTTCAACTGAGCCCTTTTTGTGTTTTCTACGGTAAAGGACAGTCCATGAAATCTTTCGTGGATTTCTTCTCATCAAGAAGGATCTCTCACATTTTTTGTCCAGGAAATTGAAAGACTATTAAATTGATGTATAAAACATTTATTGGTTATGGCAAAATAATATAGATGTGATTTTACAATCAAGTTTTCAAAGTGTGTTTTAAAAATAACTTTATATCAACAAAGGGATAAATTAAGCAGTTCTTCTAAGTTGAACATTGTAAACGCAAGTACCTTTCCATCTAGACGTATATATCTTTTCCCATGACCTGGGTAGATTTTGTAGCTGCATACCTCGAGTCTGGAAATTTAAAGAAAATAACGAAATCATCAAATACTAGGAAGATCAAATGAGAAATATAACATGTAATAATAGCAGTCTCTGCGTAAAGACTTACGAATACTTACAAAACAATTAAAATCGACAAGTTTTAATCGCCGATTTTAAAGAATCGGGACGTAAAACCGCTAATATCGATTCAATTATGAAAAAGTGTTTCAGTTTCACAAGAATTTCATAAAATAACGAAAACGTTTTGCTGTTTCCTTGGATTGGAACAGATCAAGACTGGAACTCATTGCCAAATGAACTTAAAGATATTAGTTCTCTAGCGACCTTTCAAAGAAAAATCGCTTCCCACTTTCCCAAAACAAATATGTACTCAATTAATTGTAAATATCTTTCTAACCTAGCTATACTTCATTTATTGTACATTTTAGTGTCTTGTGTATCGTAAAATGTAAGTAGTTCACTATTGTATTGTAATTTTCATTTTTGCACACGCCCCATGTGGAAATCAACTTGTATGTTGACAATGGTAAGCGTGTTAAAATATAATTATCTATCTATCTATCTATCTATTTCAAAAGACTTCTTTTTGCCAGATCGAAGCAAGACAAAGCAGTTGAAAAGGAAACAGTGCTGCCAGATGAAATTTAAATAAGTTCATGTCGGCATGTTCAAAAGTTCACATATTATCCACCAATGTCCACAAATCGACGAAAATTGCATAGTTTGCACCTAATGAATAAAATAAGCTAAATCAAATGTAAATTTATAATGATGCACATTGCACATTTGTACAAAACAACAAAAAACAAACAATGAAAAACAATTATTTAGTTCGATTTAGATTCGTCGCTTGAGTCAGAGTCTTGAGCATAAAGAATGTCGGTTGTCATATGACTTAAAGCATTGGTCGATGGTAAATATTTGACACAGCCTCCTGACTCTTTCACTCTTTGCTTAACTTTTAGAATACTGCAGACTGAAGAATGAATTATGTTTGTCTCGAATCTCTAAACCAGTGTATGTTCATTGTAAACAACCTTGTCTTTTATAACTGATAAGTTCATAAAAAGTTTTTAATTTTTAGAAAAAGTTGATAAAATGTTCACAAAATTCTTTCTGTTCACAAAAATTCAAAATAAAAATCAAAAGTTCATAAATCTATGAACTTTGTTCACAATTTGGCAACACTGAAAGGGAAGGGTTATCACTCATCGAGAAAATTATTCCTCTAATCACATTCCCCGTTACTCACATTTACTCCTCATTTGTAATGGATGTTTTTTGAGAAACCACTAGCATGTTCCTAGTTACTCCAAAGTGCACCTTAATTACCTCCTATGCTCTTGTACCTAATAACCATGAGAACAAAGATCAAATAAATAAATTTTTAGAAAATTTTGCGTTTGTTTCTAACATTTGGTTTATTTGGGGGGAGAAATTTCAATAATATTTTAATAGCAACCGCAATTTTCTTCGTAATGTTCACAAGCAGTGCCAAACGCAAAACGCTGGTTAAGCGTAAGGATATATACAGTTTACGGCCATTACCGACCAGAGGATGATTCGTCTAACGTCGTAACCACTACTAAGACCACCACTAAGACTTTCAGCCAAAGACTTATAGAAGATCGAACAGGTTTGAAATGTTGCTCGCTGAAGCTTGTACTCTTAACGATGTTTCTTACTGTTTTAATGGAAGTTTGTGACCTACCCGCCGAGAAGTCCAGCAAATGCGTTTATTCATTTCAACTTCATTTTATGCATGTATCGATAATGCTGGCAGTCCGAAGTCGAAAGGCAGTTGGAGGATCAAAATGCTGGTATACCAATGGATTTTGGTGTCGAGTAATGGAGCGAAGGCTGGAAGAAAACAGTCGCTCTTCCAACAACAGCAAAATCAACTACACAAAACAGTTTTTACTGTCTTGAGGCGATTCATATATTTTTCTTAGCTAATGATCTTCGAAGACCAAGTTCTTTCTACATTAGGAACTTTGCTCGTAGAACGAAAGGCGATGCAAAGCCGAACGGATCATATACCGAGCTGATAATAGCCAATATCTCTCTACTAGATGGCGGTTTTTCATTCAGCTGAATCCGAAATCCAAATTCATCACGGCTAATGTTCCATAGAACACCAAGTGCTCTTTCGATAGATACCTTCTCAAGGCAAAGATCCCTAACTGATTTTGCTCGTTCCATATCCGGCATGCCACCACCGTCGCTGAATTTGAAACGAAATCCACCCTTGTTAAACGAAATCCACCTTTGTTAAACGAAATCCACCTTTGTTAAACGAAATCCACCCATAGCAAGCAGTTTTCGAAGATCACTGGCTAATGTTATTGCCTTATCTTCATCTTTTACAGATTTAAGGCAATCAACAACGTAGAAGTTACGCTTGACTGTATTTGTAACTATGTTTTCAAATTTGTTGGTGTTATAGTCTGCAGTTTTGCGCAGAGCAAAATTGGAGCAACTTGGCAAAGAGGTCGCTCCAAACAAATGAACCGTCATTTGAAATTCTTCGGTTTCTAAGCCCAAGTCATTCTGTGGGCACCATAAGAAGCTCAGGGCATTGCAATCTTCATGATGAACATTTACTTGATAGAACATAGATTCAATGTCGGCCATTGGGGCTATGGGCTCCTGTTTAAATCAAGTCAGAACACCGAACAACTTATTCGTCAAGTCCGGTCCCTGTAGTAGTTGGTCATTAAGAGAAGCTCCATAGTAGACCGCAGCACAATTGAACTTAACTCAAAATTTGTCTGGCTTGTTCGAACTGAAAACTGGGTGATGAGGAAGGTACCATATTGCTTCATGGAACCTATTTAATGAATCAGCAGAGACCTTGCGTGCAAACTGTTTCTCAAACAGGTTATCCATGAATTCAGCATACTTGAAGAATAGTTTAGGACCCTTCAACAGCCTTTTCTTCAAAGGAGTTAAACGATGTTCAGCCAAAGGTCTATTTTTTGGAAATCTAGGAGGAAAACTTTTCCACGGGAAAGCAATTTCATAATGCCCATTACGAAGACGAATTGTGGATTTCATAATATTCACCGCACGTATATCTTCTTGAAACATTTCTACTTTGTTGTTGTATGAAGCATCATTGAACTCAGCACAGCAGAACTTCTTAAACTTTTCACTCAGCTCATGATCGGATTGAATGTAGTTATTGACTTGTTTGGTCCATTAGTTTCTCCCAAGAGGACCATTTAACGTCCATCAAAAGATTGTTCTCACAGCATATGGACCCTTAACTCTGTAGTCTCTAACTACTTTAATCTCCAACGCTTTAGGTACATCATTTCCAACGAGGATGCCAATTGAGGCATTTGATGTTTGTTAGAGTAACACCCTTAAGATGTGGTCACCGATCGATGTCTGCTTGCGTTAGAATGCTAGACTCGTCGACTGGAAGCTTTTTTGTAGAAAACAACGTAGGAAGCTCAATTATGCTTATTTCATTTAAATAAAACACTTCTAATTCAACAACGTGACATTCTGTTAAAGTGTTTTCATTCCTTAAGGTAGTGAGTGAAACAATAGTTTTCTCTCCAGAAATACCAAGCTCTTCTAGCAGTTGGTTCGCACTAAATGACGTGTTTGATCGAGCTTTAAGAAAGGCATATGTTTTAATTGTCTCCACCAAATCTCTACATTTGACTTTAACGGGCACTATCTCCAACCCAGTCGAGGTGATTCCGGCTCCATTGGGATCGCGTCGACAAACATCAACACTGACATAACCGTTGCTGTTGATTATCGTCTGGGGCGTTTAATGGTTCCATCCGATGCCTTATGCAATGAGCAGCTTCCCACAGCAAAGTTCTCAACTATAGGATGCAAAAATGTCGAATGCTTCTCTTGACATCCCAAAACCTTGCAAAAGCTCTCATTTGGGCAAGTTTTAGCAATATGACCTTGTAGGAAACAATTATCGCAGAGACCCTATTTTTCGCACTATTCTTTTTCTGTTCTCAACAGTTTCTTCTTTGAATATATCACATCCAGATAACCAATGATTACCATGACACATTGGACATCTAAGAAATTTTCCAGCTCCAATTTCGAGTTCAACTATATTTGATTATTGATCGTTTCCAGAGTCCTTTCCAATTGTTCCGAAGGCATGCTTACCTCGAGGAAATTTAGGATCTTGAGCAATTCTAACTTTTGAATCATTATTAATCTTGCCGAAAATAGGATGATTTAATGCTCTCGCTTTCACCTCGACAAATCTTGAGATGTCTTCGAAAGTTACCTCTCTTTTCTTATTACTTGTTATATCGTCTGCTATGTCACACCATTTTTGTCTGATAGAATAAGGTAATTTACGGATAATATTTTGCAAACTACCCAGATTGTCAAGTTTGTTGAGATAACCTATTTCTTTAAGTGTGTTTTTGCAGCTGATAAGCAATACAGAGAATCTTCGAAGTGCTTCGCCATCTTTAGCTCTGATTAAGGGTCCCTCCATTATTCGTTGTAAGTAGGCCGTAGCTATTCTATAATTTTGACCATAATTCTCCTTAAAAAGTTTCCTTGCGACCAGATATCCTTCATCGTGGACCATAGTGCTCCTTCAATAGTTTCCTTGCGACCAGATATCCATCTTCGGGGACCATAATGCTCCTTCAAAAGTTTCCTTGCGACCAGATATCCTTCATCGTGGACCATAATGCTCCTTCAAAAGTTTCCTTGCGACCAGATATCCTTTTTTGGAAACCATTGACAAGCAACTTCGCACAAGTTCCTGAACCTTACCAGATGTGTATTGAACTAAATAATACAAACGTGTATCACTTCTAGTTGTTTTCGATTAAATAAGATTTTCAAACGATCGTACAAAATGACAATATTCGACAGGATTTCCACTAAATGTTGGTATTTAAGCGTGAGGTAGTGACATTGAAAGAGCCCATTGTTGGTACTGTTCAAGCAGTTCCTGTAAATCATTGTCCCTAGCCTGTTGCATTTTCAGTATCCGTTGACTTTGCTGCTGCTGTTGATTTTGCATATCCAACATATCGTGCAAGAAAATTTTTGCTAGTTCTGAATCATCCAAATTTCCAATCTTTGATGGGTCTAATTCGTGAACCGTTTTAAGAGACTTTCGCATTACGACTGATTTTGGTTGTTCCTGCGAAACATGAGATCCTTTATGAGTTTCATCTCGTGTTGTCGTATTTACACCAGCATTTTGAGGAAGTGGTCGAGAAGTTGGCAGTATTGGTTGAGTATGGTTGTCGCCATTCGTTTGCCAACATGGAACTTTATTGTATTTAACGTTTTCTGTTAGCATCCTCCTTCACTATTTCTGCCTCAATTCTACCCTATTTCATGAGAATCTGTTTGGTCTACTCGTGAAGACAATCGGGCAAAGGCTCCATAAGTTCCAGCTACACTGTAAGCCACTTCTTCTGCTTTAACTTTTGATATTTCAGCCTTCAGCTGTAGTTGGTGTCTCCTTTGTTTGAGGCGCATTTTTTCTTCTTCCTGTAGTTGTCGGTGAATCAACTCTTAATATTTTAAGTGAAGCTCTTGTTCGTCTAAAGATTGATGTTCCTCCAAAGCAGTTGCTTTGACTATCGAGGCTGCTTTCTTTGCAGCCATCATGGTTTCCCACTTAAGGTATTTGACCGGGCTTTGGATCTATATAAACTTGTGATTTAACTACGTGATCTAAGGGGCTGTTTACATGGTCCCGGGTAGCCGGGATTCAGCGAAGCGTTAAATGATTTTGGCAAATGGGAACGATTCAATACTTATCATAAGATAAATCTTCTTCAGCAATTTCAAAATATTCTGATTTTATAAATACGCAAGCATTTAAAATGAAAACAACTAATTTGGCTTATTTTTAGTATTACCATTGGAATAACTTGTGGCACTTTACGAACAGTTGTAATTTTTTAATTTTTCCGCTAAAAATTTTGCCTCCTTTCAATGACTCAAAATTCTCTCACGCCTCACTGAATCCCGGTTAGCCGGGATCATGTAAACACCCCCTAACACGACTCTACTCTAGGACGTTACTAATGGAGTCATTTGGCTTTATCTGGACTTCTGACATTGATGGTTGTTTTGTAAACTCTCGCAGCTATTCGTTTAAGGTCCTTTGAAAATTTTCAATTCTTTGTTGTTCAATTTGAAGGTATTCGTTTGAGTTTTGGTGATCAAAATTATCTTCTATTGTAGCGTGATGACGCTCGTGGGCGTTGTAAAATCTGTTTACAACTTCGTTGAATTCTTGTGATTTAATATTTGCTTCGCTCAAGTTTGGAAACTTCTATTTGATTTGGTTAGCTCCTTCATATTTTTTGTAACTGCGCCTTTTGCAGCAGATCGTTTTCTTCGTAGTTGTTCAGATGTTTCGAGAGTTGAAGGTTCTTCTTCACTGTTGAGAGCTGGGGTGGTTTGTTTGTTTGTTCATTACTCATTACGCTCTTCGCTTCGTTGTTAGATTCAGCCATTCGAAAGATCGTTAATTAAAAACAGGGCCTCGTCGATATATCAGTTGATGAGGATAAATTCTTTGAACTTTTTGTAAAATTCGACTAAGGGCTCAACCATTCTCTGCCAAGTTTCTGATACTTTGAGACGCGCATACTTTATTACGTACGGTTCAACTAAATAATTACAAATAATTCTAACAAATGCATAAAAAAGAAGGGATAAATTCATCTAACTACTTACAGAATTTACAGCGTTACTAGGCAGAGAAGTTTATTTGATCTTATTCAGACGACAGTTTGATGCCAAATGTCCGTCGTCTCCCATCTGACATCAGAACCGGAAACGTTTTGAATCCAACACAATGTATGTTAATATATTTCACAAACACCAAGATAAGACACATGTAGCCAATGTTGCGATCTCCCAGCGTATTTAACGGAATAAATTTCGGTAAATATTTATTAAACATTGCCAGTATCAATAGCAATTATTATCATCAATATAGAAACACAGACAACACCCGTATTTGTACTTCTCCTGGCTGTGGTTACACTGCCAACCCAGATTATGAAGGCCTATGTTCTACCTGTTTCATCAAATTACATGCATTATTTCAAGAGGGTTCAGTTATGGTAGCCCCATCAGGCAAGAATCAACATCGAATGTGGAAGCAGTCAAGACAAGATGTTTGACTGAAGAATGTCTATTCTTCGGCATCCCAGAGAATGATAACTTGTGTTCACAATGTTACGCAAAGGCATTGCAACTTGATTATGACTTAGAGTCTGAAAAGAAGATCAAAGCTGAACAAGAACGAGCTAGAAGGAACTGGCAAATAGCAAAACAGCAAAAGAATACAAATCATGACTTGCACAGGCTTTATTATGTAAATGAATCCCAATATTATCAGGTCAATATTTGTTGTTGAATTAACTAAACAAAGAAATTTCTCACAAAATCTCTAGAAATCAATAAATTGTACTCATTTTCGCCAAAAATCTTTTATCACATTTGCAACCTCATGTATAGAAGAGTTGTTTATATTTTAGATAATTGTTGGGAGACAAAGTATTTCAACACCTTCGTCACCAGCAAAAAGGCGACCATCAAAGTTAATACCATGTGTAACTAAAGGATGTGAATGTTTTGGTACAGAAGAAGATCAGGGTCTTTGTCATAAATGTTTAAAGAAGAAAGAAATGCTTTTCTTAGAATAGACAGTTGGTGTGAACAGTTTTCAACAACTTTTGTTTCAATGAACAAGAAATACTGTCATTCTATAAGGTTTAAATCTTCATATCTAAAGAGCTGTATTGACATTAGTAATAAAGTAATATATTCGCTTCCTTATAGATGTAGATATGCACTTCGTACGTGTGGCTATAGCCTCATAATAACCACGTCTTTTCTCGTTTATCAAATTTCTGCAGCTAACTGATAAATTATTCGTCGTATATCATGTTAAAAGCGATTGCAAATACTCAATTTATGATAATGCTCCATAATCAAGGGTGCTAGTGCATTTTCGTGAATTAAACAATAATAGACAAAGCTGGTTTCCTGAATTTTACGGTACAAGAGAAGTAACTTCAGTTAATAGTGATTCACTTAAATTTAGCATACCTTTTCATAAGACATTTTTGTTCTTCTGTACGACGCAAATAAACAAAAAATCACAGACGTAAGTTTGTCAAAGGTGTACTACATTTGTACTTTTAAGCGTCCATTACAGTTGTCTAGCTGTCACAAATGTTCTCATGCGTAAAAACATATGTGACAGCCCTTACAAAAATATTTTATAGAGCATTACATAGAAGCAATGTATTGGATATTCAATGGAGTATTCTACAGTATATTCATGGCCCGAAGCACAATCGAACTTTGGAGCCCTTCGTGCTCCATGAATATTCGGACACATTACAGTTTTTCATTGCCCTCGATCTCTTTGTTTGGGTCTGCCTGTGTCGGAGGCAATTTGTCCCCTTCTCTGAACGTCCCTGTTTTTAATTATGTATTTAGATAATACGAAAATTTAAGACGGTTTGCGATCGAAAATCTGTACTAATCTTCCATGGAAGTTAAAATTTAACAAATACTTTAGTTATTATAGTATAATTTTGTTAGTGTTAAATATGCTTTTTCGTTCATTGTATTGTGTTTAGACTATGATGCCCTGCGTTATAAGTTGGCTTACCCATTTCCAAGAACTCAACAAATGCAACAAATTTTTACAGCTACAACCACAAAAACAACCCGCGCAACACAACACTTGCAAATCACTCTAACAACAATAACCATTACAACCACCTTTTCACAAAAAAAACAGCCATCACAACACATTACTATATACAGCAACCACTACATTATTAATGACAATCCAATCCATATTCACTATAAATGCAATTATGCAAACGTACACTTTTACGTACACTTTACGTAAAATTTGCAATTCAAAGTGTACGTTTTTTAAAATATATTATACGCTTTTCATAACAGGAACCCAAGTCGTTATGGAACTGCATAGAAGTATTTCTTCAATAGATGTTGCCACTTCGGAAATTATTCGTGATTCAGTTGATGGGGATGTCACTATCCCTGCAGATCAGGGAAAACATCGATTCTTATTAACATCATCGCGATACACTTTTTTGTTCCCGAATCTTTCTTGTTTCAATAGAGATTTTCAAGATTTTTTGTACGCAACCTTAGTAAACATTGCTCTTGAAAATGAGTTGGAAAACAACAGGTCTCTCAACTGGTGTAAAATTCTACCGAAGTTTATTCCTATAAACACCTTGGGAAATGGAAATTGTTTGATGCATGCAGCTTCACTTGGTATGTGTGGTATTCATGACCGAAGATTAACTTTGAGAAAAACTGTTTATCAAGTTCTGATTGAAGACCAAACATGTTTGAAAACTTTATTCACGGATTTGATGATGCTGTTTTTATAAAACGGTGAAAATTCACTATTAAAAATTACTTAGCAGTACGAATTATATCAATTTGAACGGAAACTCTGTTTTGATGACAGATGCTCGTAGCAACGCACCCGCGTTGTCTTGACAACGAAGTGTTAAAAAACAAGAAGCGTTGGTTTTTCATTCATTCAGTAAGAAATTAGTTTACAAAACTCCTTTCTAACTTCTTTATACTTAACTTCTTTTTGCTACCTTACATTTTTTGATTTAAACTATTTTTAAAAATATTTTATTAAATTTTCGGCCATATACTGCAGCTTTCTTCAGAAATAAACCAGAAGAACATGATGATTTCATATATTGAGCTATCTATCTTATTCACAATGAAATGAACGATTCACAAAAGAAATAATTAGAATATATATTCTATAAGGCTCCGTTTACACTATACCGAATTATTATCGTAGCAGTCGTAACAGGTTAAATTTCTTTTGTACTAAAAGGCAGTGAATTTGTTCAACGTCAGAAACACAATCAAATCGACTAAATTAATCAACTTAATAAGCTTTTACTTCGTACAGTTACACCTTTAAAGCAAATGAAGAAGTCGTGATGAGCAAACCGGTATAGTGTAAATGCAGCTATAGTGTGTGATTTAAGAATAATAATTCATTAAAATGTTTCATTGAATGAAAAAATAGTGCTTAAAATAAACAAGTAATTACATCATAGTTGGTTCTTTAGAGAACTCGTTCCCATGGTCTGACATCTTGCATAAATTCTCTGTTAAATGAAACAACTAGAAAAACCATGCGCGCTTAATGACTATGAAGTAATCTCTATATCTTAGTCATTTAAACTTCAATTTAGGCATGTATCAGAAACGCTGGCAGTCGGAAGTGAAAAGGCAGTTGGAGGATCAAAATTCTGGTATACCAATGGATTTTGGTGTAGAGCAATTGTATGAAGACTGGAAGAAAACCGTTACTCTTGCATCAACAGCAAAATCAATCAATAACCATAGTTTTTATTCTCTTGAAGAGATTCATATATTTGCCTTAGCTAATATTCTGCGAAGACCAATTCTGGTGATATGTGACGATTCTCATCGTGGTGCTGGTGTAAACCATGGTGGCATATACTTACCATTGTTGTCAAACTTGGTGGATTGTATCAAAACTCCTCTTATAATTGGCTATCACCATGGACATTTTACAGCACTTGTGATGGCAGAAAATAATGAGAGAGGGCATACATTGGCCGATCACAAAATGGTGATTGGAGTACCATTAATGAAACATAATGGCCAGCCTATGAAACTCCGTTGTTTGTTACCAGAGGAAAGAAATTACTCTGATCGACTACAACGGGAATATTTAAACTGTTTAAAGTTACATTACACATTTGACAATGAGTGTGAAATGAAAATACTTGTCGCTGAAATGGAAGCTTGTGAACAAAATCCACATGTTTATGGAATGTTAAAAAGATATTTTAAATCAATGGAAGATATACATTTGGAAACATTGACATTGAATCAGCTATCACTTAATGACCAAAGGACAATCACATCATATTCAACAAAACATGAAGACCATTTTAAAAATAGTAAAGAGCAGAAACCATGTGCCAAGATTAACTGCAGAAACATTGCCAGTATCAATAGCAACTATTGTCATCAATGTAGAAACACAGACAACACCCGTATTTGTACTTCTCCTGGCTGTGGTTATACTGCCAACCCAGATTATGAAGACTTATGTTCTACCTGTTTCACAACATTGAAATCTATACTACACGAGGGAACAAAGACGGCAACTCCTTCAGCGTCACCTAATGATAGATGTTACAATAACTGCGTGAACAAAGGTAATGATGACCTTCGCGGCCTGTGTTATGATTGCTATAGAGAGAAATTTCTCAATTATCGTTCTTCAGCAAAAAAGGACGTCGGACAATCCAGATCCGTTGTCCAATGCAATAGAACTAGAAAAACAACTAACATGGGAAGGAAAGATGGAAAGAAATTTCAGGTTTGTGATTTTAATGATCAGAGGACAATGGCATCATATTCAACCAAATATGAAGACCATTTTAAAAATAGAAAGGAGCATAAACCATGTGCAAAGATTAACTGCAGAAACACTGCCAGTATCGAAAACAATTATTGTCATCAATGTAGAAACACAAACAACACACGTATTTGTACTTCTCCTGGCTGTGGTAACACTGCGAGCCCAGAATATGAAGACCTATGTTCTGTCTGTTTTACAACATTGAAGTCTATACTACACGAGAGACCAAAAAGGGCAACTCCATTTGTGTCAGTTAGCGATAGATGTTATAATGACTGTATGAACAATGGAAATGAGGACTTACGTGGCCTGTGTTATGATTGCTACAAAGAAAAGTTTCTCAATTGTCGTTCTTCAGGAAAAAAAGATATCGGACAATCCACATCCAATGTGCAAGGTAATACAACTAGAAAAACAACAAACAGTGGAAGGAAAGATGAAAAGAAATTTCATGTTGTTAACGCAAGTTCATCCACGCGCTCAGTTAACGTTGTATCCCATCCAAACTGTGCGAAAATTTCGCCAATTTCAAGAAAAGTAGAAACGGTCGAGAGAAGATGTCTGACTAAAAAATGTCTGTTCTTTGGTACTCCAGAGAATGAAAACTTGTGTTCACAATGTTATGCAACTCTAAAACTAAAGTCGGAAAAGAAGACTCAAGACAGAAAAAAAACGAGATAAAAAGAACAGGAAAATAACGCAACAAGCCATGCTTTGCACAGGTTTCATTACGAGAATGAACTTCATTATCAGGAGAAGGAATTATTTGCCAACTTTTCAGTTTCACCTAGAGTAAGGTTTTTTATTTTTTAGCCAATTTTTGGTGAGAAAAGTGCTGCAGCATCTTCATCACCAGCTCAAAGGCTGTGGATGTTTTGGAACAGAAGAAAATCAGGGTTTTTGTTATAAATGTTTTGAGTCAGGGAGTATCCGTTACATGTTTAAAGATGTAAATCGTCCAAGTTAGTAAAGTCCCGAGAAGAATTGTAACTGTTGGTGTTGATGTTAATGTATTCAATGTATTTAATGTATTTAATATGAAATGTATTCACTTACTTATATAAATGTTGGTATACATTGGATGTGACAAGCCTCATACACAATTTCGTAACAATTGCATATATTGGCAATGTTGGCATTTATTTTTCACACGCCACTTTCGCTAATAAGTTATTATTCAAGAGGGTAGGACAATTATGCAAGCCATGACAAAGATAGCACTTAGCTATAATATTAGTAATGGTAATGACCCACTTGAGTACTACTACTCAAATCACAGACATCATGAGACTCAAGAGTGAGGGACATCAAAAGATAAACGCATTAAACTATGGAAATGACTTGTAGCACACTTATTTTCGTTTGTGGTTGTTTGATAAAAACAATCTGTCAAATTCTTACCAAAGATGTGACAGGTAAGGAGCTCGGTGTGTGATGAGGAACACGCGAAGAACAAATAAGTCCTTATTCATTTAAACTTCATTTTAGGCATGTATCGACAACGCTGGCAGCTGGGAATCGTAAGGCAGTTGGAGGATCAAAATGCTGGTGTCCCAATGGATTTTGGTGTCGAGCAGTGGAACGAAGACTGGAAAAAAACAGTGGCTCTTCCAACAACACCAAGTTTTACTGTCTTGAGGAGATTCATATATTTGCCTTAGCTAATATTCTTCGAAGACCAATTCTGGTAATATGTGCCAATTTTAATCGTGGTGACTTCGTACATTCATCAAATTTCTGCACTTAACTGATAATTTTTCTTCATATATAATGTTAACAACGATTACAAATACTCAATTTATCGTAATGGCTCCATAATCAAAGGTGCTATTTCAATGCTAAACCCTCAGCCCTTCGTTACAACACTTGCAAAACACCCCAATACCAATAACCATTAAAAGCTCCTAATAACAAACAAAAACAGCTACCACAAAAAGCACATTACTATCAACAGGAACTTCTGCATTGACAATGCAATCCATATTTCCACTATAAATGCAATTATGCAAACAGTTCTTTTAGATACACTTTGAATTGCAAATTTTAAAATATATCATAGGCTTATCATAACAGGGACCCGAGTCGTTATGGAACTATAGATGTATTAGCGAGCTTTAGCAAAGCCTACGAGTACGACTACGAGTACGATTTACGTCATTTTGGCGCGAAAACATTGTTGCGACAACAACCACCTGTAGCCGTCATCAATTTGTGTACGATGTTTTGTAAAAAATTCGTAGTCGTGACTACAATGTCTTTTTAAGCAAAGAAAGTAGATATATTTCTTCATTCCGTAAGAGATTAGTTGACAGTACTAGCATCCAGGCTTTAATTTAGAACCCATTTTTGAGCGCAGATGTACATAAAAAAATGAAAATATGACCTGCAAAACTTTCATGTATTTCGTACGCAAAGTGAAAGGTAAACAAACAATAAAATAGTACAAATATATCGTACATTAAACTTGAAATAGTGAAGATTTTTCAGTCTAAAGAGTCCTATATTCTCGCAAAATCAGTATTACCGATTCGTTGATATAATTATTGACAAATAGAGCCGTAGCTGCTTCGCAAACTTTGGTGTTTTACACAATAAAAAGGCTCGTTCTGTTGTTTAGAGCTAAAACTAAATTTTGACGAAGTGACAACGACAACAAACTTCCTCGTGCCATTCTCTTACACGGTCAAACTTCATACTCGTTGTCGTAGTCGCGCTCTTGCTAAAGCTCCCTAATGAAAGAGGCCCAGCGACACAATAACGCCTTCGAGAAATTACACGCATTTTAAGAGCTCGTAAAAGTGTTCCCTCTGGATCAACTCTGTGCATCGATTGACGAATGCGTGTTTGTTGGACAAATACACCTCTGGATCGCAAAAGGCCTGTCATTCTTTTCGAGCCGCTGAGCCGCTGTTTGCAGCTGATAATCCACATTTATGCATTTTCCTTTCTACAGTTCGTTTACTTGTACCAAATAATTCAGCAATCTCTGCGACTTTATTGTGCGATGATATTGCCTTATTTCATGGTGGAATGCACGCGTCCGTGTTCCATTTCCGTCAGGATTTGTCATGATAAAAACGTCATTTGGTTGTCTGATAAAAACAATCTGTCAAATTCTTAGATGTGACAGGTAAGGAAGTCGGGTTTGTGATCAGGAACACGCGAATAACAAATAATTGACTGATTCAATAGTTCGTAAATTTGTAATATCATCATAAACGTGAGCACGTTATTTTTTACAACTATATGCAATTTGAAAAAGAGCGTACAGACAGTAGAGAAAGACAAAGATCTGAGTCTTTTGACTGATTTTACACAATTCATCTTTCTTGCATTCAAATCAAAGAATATTATCATCATACATTTACGTAATCATACAAATTGGCATATATAGTAACAAACGCGTTGCATTATTTTAACTTTCTCAACGTACAGAATTACTGTGTATTTGAAAATCTTAAGAGTATACAAAGGCAGTCGAAATTTATTTTTGAATGTCTTGTATATTTTATATCGTTAGAGTTAACAGAGTCCATGCAAGGCTTTCCACAAGGTATTTTAGCTACAAGTATCACAGGCTTGCATTTTAGCTACAAGTATTTCCGTTATACACCGATTTTCATCAGTGTAATTCAACTTTAAACAATTCAAGTATTCCCGCAGTAATCGGTCTGAGAAATTCCTTTCCTCTCGTAACAAACAACGGAGTTTCATAGGCTGACCATCGTCTTTCATTAATGATACTCCTTCATTATTTTCTGTCAACACAAGTTCTGTAAAGTGTCCATGGTGATAGCGAATCAAAAGAGGAGTTTTGATACAATCTACGGAGTCAGATAACAATGGTAAGTATATGCCACCAAGGTTTACACCAGCAATTTGGTCATCATAGTCACCACGATTAAAATTGGCACATATTACCAGAATTGGTCTTCGAAGAATATTAGCTAAGGCAAATATATGAATCGACTCAAGACAGTAAAAACTTGGTGTTGTTGGAAGAGCCACTGTTTTCTTCCAGTCTTCGTTCCACTGCTCGACACTAAAATCCATTGGGACACCAGCATTTTGATCCTCCAACTGCCTTACGATTCCCAGCTGCCAGCGTTGTCGATACATGCCTAAAATGAAGTTTAAATGAATAAGGACTTATTTGTTCTTCGCGTGTTCCTTATAACACACCCGATGACCTTACCTGTCACATCTTCGGTAAGAATTTGGCAGATTGTTTTTATCAGACAACCACAAACGAAAATATGTGTACTACAAGTTATTTCCATAGCTTAATGCGTTTATCTTTTTCTTTGTATCAAAGTTCTTTCCTTCTTTCCTTCTCCAGCGTTGTCTGAACCTAGTGCGAAGCAGCAGCGACCTTGCTGTCAATAATGGTCTTGCTCTTGATATTGATCTTCCATGATGTGATACTTGAGAGAACTTTGTTCGTAATTAGCATTAACAAATTCATTTCTTTGGTATTAAGTACGTAGTATACCTGGTATGGAATTCTATGTTATTCCAGTATTATTCAACAGAAGGTCTTTTCCAGGATAAATTTTGGTCAACATTTAAAGCTAATGTTTTACTTTCTGAAAGCTGTGTAATATTTTTTATCGACTTTAATGTTAAATTTAGAGACTTTTCTTCTATTTAGCATTAGTTTTGAGTTGATTACCATGAATTCAGTTTTATCAACATCGAGAGTTAAGCATGGTTACTAACTCTGAATTCATGATAGTTTCGACATCAGTAACTGTTTCATCACTTGCAGTTAAGTAGGTTTGTCTCGTCACCAAACAACCATTCGAGATGATACGTATATGGAAAGGGAATGATAGGCGTTTATTATATCGCGACAAAAAGTGCCTTCTATTAAAACACGATTCGATTCATACGAATAGAATGTACGTTTATTAATAGCATGTGCATCAACCATCGAATCAAACTACGTTGTAAACTCGGTCACATTCACAACAAAGTTCCTCGTCGACTCGAGAAATACAAAATAGCCAACTGTCGCTTGATAGACTTTATACGCAAGGGACAAAAGAAATATGTAATATAAAATCGTTTGAGCGCGGTGCTCTGTAAATTTTAAAGATTTAGGCCCAGGCCACACTATCGGCTATATTCACGAAAACGAAAACAAAACGAAAATTCGTGCACGAAGTACATGTCAGATACGATGTAAAATTGCACGCATGTTTACAAAGATCGGCTAAAACGTAAACGGTAATTGTTGGATGTGTCTTTGTAGTAGCCTTTGCAGTGACAAAACAAGCAAAGAAGAAAAGGTGTCTTTTGGAAAAAGATACTCCTTCTGAAGTTGAAAGCAAGCATTTAGCAAGATACTAGATTCACCCAATTAATAAACGACGTGATCGACTGGGATAATTTAACAACTTGATTAAAGAGTTACGAGAACCTAACAAAGACAACAGACTCATATAAATACTTGCGAGTGACGACAAATTGTATTTCTCACATCAGATTTATTAAAACCTCGTGCCATCCTGCCATCTTTGTGTAGTAAAGTTTTAGATTATTAGCCAATTGCATGCGTTTTCGTTAACGAAAAAGGTCAAAAATTCAACTCTTCTAATCTGCACGAAAACGAAATTTTCGTTCAACATTTTCGTTGCGGCAGTTTTCGTTCTAATTTTCGTCCATATGGACGATAATGTGGCCTAGGCTTTAGGCCACACCATAGTGTGGCTAGGAATTCATTACCATGAATTCAGTTTTACCGATTAATACGTGAATTGTAAAGTAGGAAAAGTTAGTAAGTTAGGCCAAATCATCTTTTTCGTCCATATGGAGGATAGTGTGGCGCCTAGGCTTTAGATTCAGCGCACAAACGAGTAAAATACCATACACGCGTATCTGCGTATCTTACAGAAAAAGAATGCTTTGTCGAATGAAACCACTTTTTATTCAATACGGAAACTATCAGAGATCACAGACGTAGATACGCATGTGTTAAAACTATTTTCTCATGTCTGCGGGGACACGTTTATCACCTTATTCCAAAGAAAGAATAGCTACTAATATTAAGTAAGGAAGGAAAG